AGAAGAAGAAGAAGAAGAAGAAGAAGAAGAAGAAGAAGAAGAAGAAGAAGAAGAAGAAGAAGAAGAAGAAGAAGAAGAAGAAGAAGAAGAAGAATGTGAAAGAAGAAGAGAAGAAAGATTTTAAAAATATCAAAATTGGGGCAAAAGTTTTTACGTGATTTTCAATTCGAATTATTCTTTTTCAAGACCCTTTATAGACTAACTTTGTTTTCATATTGTAAAACTACGAGCAAAGCAAAGCTTGTAGTTTTAGACTACAAACCTAATCGCGAATCCGATTGGTGATCATAAAAGAGAATAATTAATTTTTCAAATCACTTCGAAACTTTTGGCCCACTTATTTTTTTTATTAAAGAAAGTTTTCTTAACGTAAATGATTAATTGAACTTTTTCTCTCCCTCTTTTTTTTTTTGTATTTTTGTTTGAAAGTTTTGATTAATTTGAAAATGTTGTACTTGTTGTTTCTTTCGTAACGTATTAGCTTTATTGTCGCAATCATTTTATTTGATAGTCGCATAAAAAGAAAAAAATAAATCAAATATATAAATATATTTGACAACAATGATTTATATATGTCGAATCGAAATCAGCTAAACAGGGCTATATATAACGAAGGATATTATTAAAAAGTAAGTATATATTTATATATATATGTATTATCCATATATATATATTTACGTATGTATTGTATATTGTAATTGTATTTTGTATGTATATTGTAAATTCATGACAACACACCTTGAGTTCCTTTTCAATTATTTTGTCCTCTTTTTTTTTTTTCTAATTACTATTTCTAATTCTCTTACCAAGTGAATAATTATTTCGAACATAATCTCGAAAGCGTCTATAGAAAATGATTAATTTTTTTCCTTCAAATTTGTAGAATATTTTTTTCAATTCTTTTTTTTTTTCTTTTCTTTCTCTAATCGAATATCATACTTCTCGATATTATTATAATTATTATTTTGAAATAATAAACGCTTTCGAAGTGGCAGTTATATAAACGTCCAGTAGTGCCATTTTTCGATCACTTGGAGGGAAGGGAGGGCACTCGAAGGTTTGTGTGTGTGTTTGTGTGTGAATTAAGTACGTTTCCTCGCAACACTTACGGACGATAACCTTGAAATACAATCTACAACATATAGACAACGAGATTAGATTTTAGGCACTGAGTTATTTGTTGTATTTTTTGTTTCTTCTTTTTATATGACCTTTCTCTTGCTTCTTTTTTATTTCATTTCTTAAAATTTTTCAAACCCTTATTCTCTCTCTCTCTCTCTCTCTCTCTCTCTCTATCTCTTTCTTTTTTTCACTTTCTCATTCTCTCACTCTCTTTCTCTTTCATTCTTTAGAAAAAAAAAAAAAAAAAAAAAAAAAAAACAATTCGTCAATTAACTTAACACTTTCTCCTACGATTAGAACGAGTTACGAAATTATCCAGGCTAACGATACCTGCAAGTATAAAGAAATAATCAAAGGCAATGGTGATGCGTAATCATTTATGTTTGCTCTTTTTCTAATCACTTGCTTAGAAAACAATTAGTTAAGAAAAAATAATTCATAAAATTTAAAGAAAACTTGAGTTGTAGTGAAGTATCCATGATGTTTTTATACATTACGATTGATTTGTTTTTCTTTTTGTATCTAATGTCATTACAATTGAATATTCGAATTAGAAAAACAATGAATTAGAAGATTATTAATAATAATAAAAAATGTTAGTTGTAATATTCACGAGGTGTATGTAACTTATAATTAACTTTTCGTATCTGAAACTAGTTTCGTTGGGCAGTTTGTTTTTGATTAATGTAAAAAGTAAAAAAAAATAGTATTAGAAAAATAATCATAAAATTCTATTCGTGTCGTATTCACTTTGTTTATGCATATAAGTTATATATATTTTTTTTTATATCTATCTAGAGTCATTATAGTTGACAATCGTATTCATTTATTCGATAAGTTCAATCTTTTGCATTATTTGTTCTTTTTTAATTTAAACGCATAAAACTTCGAGTATGTTTGAAAAGGAAATATAGACAATCACTTAATTTTCAAATAGAAGTTTTGCTACGAAGTAAATGAAATGATTGTACGAATTTCATTTTTAAACGGACTCGAAGTGTTTAAAAGCTTATCGTTTGTTTATTATTTCCTCGAGCCAAGCGTGTTAATACTTTTCTTTCTCTAATATATGAAGAACGTTTTATTTATTATTTTAATCAGAATTTATAATATTTAAGATAATTCAATTTAGAGATGTCTTGTTGAATTCGGAATGTAAAATGAGTGTCACGATTTTATGATGTATCAAAAATTATTAAAAATATAAGAAAATGATTAATTTGATAATTAACTAAAAAATAATTACTAGTATACGTGTTAATAATAAAAAAACTAAAACAATAACAAAAATATGAAAGCTACATCTATTTTTTTTTAACATATTGAATCAGGCCACACTATATTATTTTAATTTAATTATTAATTATCGTCATATATATATACATATGATTCTACTTATACAAAAATTGTTTTTAAATTTTAAATTCATATATAAATGAAGAATATAAAATATTAAACCTTTTAGTTATTGTGTCTCATTATAGTTGCTTCCCTTTAAATGATGATTTTTTCAATGAAGAATTATAATTATTTACTTTTATTTTTTGTTTGCTTTGAAAGCCGTGTACGGTGCATGATAGCGGTGGAAATTATGATTATTTTCAATTTCATTTATAGAAATAAACGACGATATTATATTTTCTAATTGGACAATAATTAATGTCGGAATTTTTGTTATTTTATTTAATTATTAAATATTAATGCAACTCTCTCTCTTTCAAATAACTTTATATATGAATAAACACTACTAGTATTTTTTTTTTTTATTTAAAACTTTATAAATTAGAATAAGACAATCATAATATTGTTATTATACTATTCGTCCCGTTATTATTAAGTTTATATTTATTTCGATATAAAATATTTCGAATTCCGATACAATTCTTATTGACCAATCCAATAACATAAACGAACGTTATTTAAAATTTTAACGCAGTCTCAATGATAAAATAATTTTGATTACATGCACTTTACTGTCAAACAATTCGCATAAGCGACACACTCTTCTTCAACAACCATATTCACCATAACTAAAAGGTTAAAAATGATAATGTTATCATTTTCAAAACAGGGTCTGATTCAAATACGTTTATTTAACATAGCGAACGAGACACGTTTATGATGGAAACATAATCAATTCTCAGACCCATAAACTCATTGCCAGAATCCTATATCGTAAATTAATTAATTAATTAATTATCATCATCTCCTTTTTTTAGAGTGGTCACGTGTTAGAATTTGATAGAAGAGGATGATAAATAGAGAATAAGAAAAAGAAGATGATGATGATGATGATTAAGAGGATTAAGGAGAAGACGAAGACGAAGAAGAAGAAGTAGAAGAAGAAGAAGAAGACGTAATCGTTGAAACCATCTTCAAGATTTGTAGTAGATGTTGAGGGCGTAGATGAACTTACCTATATCACCGCTGCTTGAACTTTCAGTAAAAGATGGTGTCCCTTCCGTCCAGGTAGGTGTTGATCCTTCAGCACTACCAGCAGGTGGTGTCCACGTTAAGCCGCCTCCACCACGACTGCTACCACCACTTTCAACGCTTAGCGATGATTTAGTTTCCCTACCACCGCTACCACTTCCACTTCCACTACTCTCCAAGTGTACGTCCGATATACTGAAGATAATAATAATGTTTATTTTTTTATTATTTATATATATATATGATCTTATGTTGGTTATCTTAATTATGATAAGAATTGTAAATGTTTATATTACGTATAGAAATGAATTCGGTGCTTTGATATTAACGCGTTGACTGCCGTGTAGATCACCGGTGACCTCACCACAAAAACAATTTTTTTTTACAAAATATGCAATCCCATAAAAAAAAAATACATGTAGACGCCACACATATCAACGTGTTAAATAATTTATCTAATTCTTATTTGAATGTGTGTGAATATCAATTATTAAAATTTCTCTTCTGCAACCAAAATATTTTTAATAACAAACGTGTAAAGATCGTTCAAAATTAGATTTCTGTGTTAAAAATATAAAAAATAAAGAAAAAAAAACCAATTTTATCGGTAAGTAATATTGATGATTTCTTACCTGACCGCATCATGATTTGATTTGGTAAGAGTAACGTGATGAACGACCTTGTTGTGTTTGGAATGGGCACTGCTCAAGCTGCTGGTGAGTATACTTGTAGTAACAGCTTGCTGTAGATGACCACCGGAAGCCAGTGTCTGGTCGTTAGACCGGACTGCATCGTCAAAAGGTGGGGGCGGGGTGGAACAGGTAGAGGGGAGGGTGCCACCTACAAAAAGCGCAACTACAATTAGCTACTAATGAACACTCAATATTCTGCGATTTACCGACGACTATATTTTGTCTTTGTTTCCTTTTTTTTTTTTTAATTATTAATATTATTATTGTTATAATAGCTGTCAATCTAAAAAGGGAGCGTTTGTTTGTGTATGTGTTGAGATTTCATTTTTCAACAAAATTTCTTTCGGATGCGTTTATAAGGGAATGAAGAGATTAGAATTAGATCTAACAGGAAAGCGATAGTGAAAATTGTGAGGAAGGGGGGGGGGGCGGTTGGATTACCATTAAATTCTGAATGAATTGTTTTTTTGTAAATAATTCAAATATTTTCCTTTTCACTTTTTTTTTGAGGTATGGAAGAGAATGGGGGGGAGGGGAATATTATAATGAATTTATTAAACTAGCTTGTTTAAAAATTGTTAGATAGAACAAACAAAATGTACGTGTTCGAAAAATGCTTTTTCCTTTTCTTTTTTTTTTTCTCTTATCTACTTCGCTTCTAAACTACGCAGGCAGGAAAATGGATCGTAATAAAATATTTATATATATCGTACACATACAAGGAACAAATATTGGAGATAAGAGGGATGATACTGCGATCAAAAAGAAGGTTAAACATTCTAATCGCGTGAACGTCCCTTTTCTTCATCTCCGTAATATAAAATATACATTAAAAAGTACACATAGCAATAAAACCAAGCGAAAATTCGAAGCAAACAACGCCAAGCATAAGCTAATTCTCAAGGCCATATATATCTATATATACATAAATTATTAATAATATTTCATATATATTATAATATATAAATTATATAAATCGGGGTGCGTCTCGATTTAATACTGACGAACCCATATGGGGGTCGTAGAAATTTGGGTAAAATCCAAACATTTCGCAAATTCCTGAAAATTAATTTAAAACCTGTGCAGAAACACTACACGTATAGAATTTCTATGAATGCAAAGGGAATAAAGGGGATCGCTAATTGGAAAAATTTGAGAATTCCTGATATAAATAATTATATATAATAAATAATATATATTTATATTATATAATATTATAAATATATATACATATATATTTACAAGAGAAAGAGAGAGAGAGAGAGAGATAGAAAGCTAAACAGACAAATATAAAAGGTCCTACGCATGCAATAATGTCCTTCGAAGATACTCGAACACAAAGAAAACATCCACACAATCGGTGTCGTTTTCTGACCTTTTTATTTGATTTTTCAATTACTTTTTATTTGTTTAATACGCCTCAGTCGATGTCCCAATATCGACGTTCGGAGTTGATGTAATCGAAGAGAAGGATACTAAATGAGTGTGGGGGTTCAAATTGGTTTCAAATAATTTCGTTCAATTTGTTCTGTTGAATTCGTCCCTTTTTTTTTAACAACCCTAACACACACAGAACTATTAATTGAAAAGAATGAATAAAATCAAAGGGAACAACTTTCATAGACAATAAATACGTCAGGGAAAAAATTCGAAATGAAAAGAAAAAAAAAACAAAATATAGAAAAATAGATAGATGAGATGCAGAGATGGATGTAACATAAAAGTAAGAAAATAATTTATATGTAAAAATGTGTCTTTGTGTGTGTGTGTGTATATGTATTAATTCGTGTTTGCGTTCCACTAGCATGCAGAAATAAATAAGTATATGTGTATTTATATGCGTGTAGAGAATATTTCTCATCGATGTAATTGTTAGAATCGATCTGATTAGAATCTATTTGTTGAATGATGATCAAGTGTTCTTGTAACTGTGCAAGAACGAATAATTCGGTTTCAATTTGTCGGATTTATCTTTTAAATTTATTCCCTCGTCGTTTTCTCCCGTCGAAAGAAAACTTTGATCTCGAATAACAGTCTTCTTATTCAATCCACTTTTCATTTTCGTCATCTTCGATTCTTTTCGAGTAAATTTGGTCAGAAATTTGCCGGATTGTGGTTCCTTCGAACTGGTAGAAGCAATTGGACTAAAGATCCTTTCCCGATGATCCTTTCTAATGTTTTCTAATCTTTGATCAACCTGATCGTAGTAGTGTGTCGAACGTTGATAAGAAGTATCAACACTTTGGATATCGATGTTGACGTTATCGCAAGATGCAGTACCATCAACGTAAGTGCTAGAACTTGAATCCTTTTCCAAGGACACTTTTTCGATTTCTTTCATGATCCTTTTTTGTCCAGCCTCGTCAAAATCTCGATTGAATTGTCTCTTCGAATTTGGTATTGGTGCCAATCTTTTCTTCTTTTTGATAGATTTTTCTTTGATTTTTTTTAACAAACGATTTTCTTTCTTAACTTCGACAATTTTGGAAGGATTCTGTTCGGTCGTTCTCGAGATAACATTGGTTGACTCGTTTGGAAATTTCTCAGTTGAATCAAACATTCTCCATGATCGAGATTTTGGATCGAATTGAATATCTGATTGGTTTTGTTGAGTAATCGCAGTGATCGTATTGATCGAAGCATCGATTTCCATCTGTTTACGTTTCATTCGTTCGTGATAAGTTTCCGAATGTTTTTTATCTTTTCGCGACATTTTATAATTCATGAGATCATCTCTGGAAGCCGGGTTTATGAAATAAGTGAATTTAGCCATATGATCGATTTTCTTAGTTGGTTTAGAAATGTCTTCGATGGGGGGGTATGATTTGGTTGATTGCATTGTTACGTCTGTCGTAGATTTGTATTTCCTTCTTTCAGGTCTGAAAGGATAAGGACTAGTTTTGATGAAATAACGATCGTCGATTTTTTCAACGCTAACGAATTCCTCCTCTTCGTCGTCTTGTTGCTCGGGTGGTTCCTCGACGATGATACCCCTGTTTCGGATGACATCATCGACGAGGGGTAGGTTCTCATGGCAGGGTGGTAAAAAGGCTGGAGTGAATGCACGAGCATGCAATGCGTCGTAGATCGAGGCTGACATTGTTGGATATTCATTGGTGCCGATGGTGGTGGTGGTGGTGGTGGTGGTAGTAGTGGTGATGGTGGTAGTGTTGAAAATGGTTGTGGGGGTGTCGAAAGTAGTAGTAGTAGTAGTAGTAGTAGTAGTAGTAGAAGTATTGTAGGGTAAGGGACGGTGATGCAGGATAGTCGAACTGTCATGCAAGCGGTATTGTCTGCTCGTGATTAGGGCTGCTTCGTCACCTCGACTGGAAGTTATCGAAGACGAGGAGGTTGTGGTAGGTCCAGGTGATCTGGCAGACCTTGCACCTGAGCCTCTAGGTGGTACAGGTGGTGGAACCTTTCCAGAAGGTACCAGATTAGGATTAGGAGGACTCGCACCACTTCTTCCCTTCAATACGGCCGGGTAACTGGTTGCTGTTGTTGATCCAGCTGTTGTTGTTGATTTCCCACCACCCAAAGCGTTCTGTTCTTGATGGGGAACAGATTGGGTGATGCCCAAGCTCAATGGTGGTGGACTTACTGGACCAGCTGCTAGATTTACAGGTGTGGAAGTGGCAATTGGGACCGAACCACTCGACATAACTGTACTGGTGGTGGAAGGTACGATATCCGTTGGGCTGCCTGCTTCGTCGTTGGTTGTCAAAAGCGATCGAGTCACCGAATTTATAGTCGTATTTTTTGTTTCATCCCGTGCGAACAGTTTTGTTGTCCGATACGATGACGTTGGGTTTGGAACCACGAGAGGGAAGAGATGTGAAGAGAGACAGAGAGAGAAAGAGAGAGAAAGAGAAGAAAGAAAATAGAGAGAAGCCGAATGAGACTGATTCGCGTTTATACGAATCGAGCGATGCAACGTTCATTTCTCGTATTATTTTTAGGAATTTTTCTTTTTAACAAATAGTATTATTTATTATATACATCAAATATGGATTTCTTCAGGGGCTTACGACATGCATAAGGTGGGTCAAGTCAATGTTACGTCAAACAACGATGAAATGTTTGTTGCATCGCTCGTTAATTTATTTTTTATTTTTATTAATATGAATAATGTATGAGAAATGTTGAAAATATTCTTGAAATGACGTTACGTAATTTTCATATCTCTACGATTTTAACTTCGAACAAAACAACGAACGATAGATACTTTTTTTCGTTTTTTTTTCTTCTTTTATATTATTTAGAATATATATAAAAAGTTATTCGATAGAAGAGAAAAAAGATATAATGATCAATCGATCCATGAAGGATCGATATTATAGAAAGATATCAGAGATTAACGAAATAAAAATTGAGATCGTGTGAGACTCACCGGGCTTCGTGGGTGACGTAGCATGCATTGTCGAGGTTCCCATAGCCGCCACCGCTAAACCACCATACAACACCATATACCATTACCGTAATTAGAGCAATGTGCCTGGCTTTTTTTTTTAACGCGATCGGACAGAGAAAAATTCTTTTTCTTTTTCTGCATCCATCGTTTATTATTCCGAACATTGTCGAAATTTATGTTAGTGTCTGAGGATTTTGATACTTGGTTCTCTGTCCCATCGCACAGTGGGATATTTACATTTAAAAACTGACCAAATATTTCTTTTTTAAATGATTAATAACATTTCATCTTTTTTAGTTCCTAAATATAGGTGTGTAGGTTGAAAAATTTTCAGCCTAATATGTAAATAATTTTTTTTTAGGTCAAACTCATTTCTATTTAAAAAAGAAAAAATAAACTACAATAGGTTACTGAAAAAACTAATGTTCTGTTTTATGAAAAATATCAAATATTTAACATGCCATAACTGTTTTATATCCCAAAATATCTTTTTCATTTTTTTTTTAAATTTGATTATTTTTGTAAAATTAAGTATACACACATTAACACTATAAACAATATTTTTAGTATTTTATTAAAAATTTTATAAAATTCTTATTATGGTTTGTGTGTGCGAGAGATGTGAATGTTTAAATATTAAAATAATTTAAAAATACATACATACATATATATATATATATAATTATCTCAAAATGAAATAAAATAAAATGTTTATAGGAATATATTGTTAGACGAATTAACAAAAATATTTTTGGCCAGTATTCGAATGAAAATATCTCCCTGTGCATCGGTTGCTCCTATTTGTTCCGATTAAATGCATATTTATGCATATAAATGCATATTTAGAGAGATCCAAGATTCGAGGAAGGGACGTTCGAAATGGCAGAAAAAAAAAACAAAGGGGTGACGTAATATCCAGAAACTGCTCGCATTCGATTGGCATTCACCGTAAAAAAAGCTATGTATGCATAGGTTCCTTGCAATTTGGCCGATGAAAGGATCAGGGTTGGATTCAAGGTGATTTAGGGTAGATTAGGTTGTGTGACAATAGTAAATAAGGGATAGAATAAAACAGGAAAACCATGAAATATTCATCACTCAACATAGAATAATATTTATAGGGAAAACGTTTCACCATAAATTGGGGGACAAATTATGATCAGAAAAGGGAGAAAGTTTAGGTTAAGGGATGTCAAACAATTCTCAACGTGAAGAAAAAGAAAAAGAAAAAGAAGAAAAAAAATAAGAAAAATGAATGAAAACACTTCGTTTACAATTAAATATTGCGGCAAAGGAGGAGAAGTAATGGGGGAAACATTCGATCGAATATTTTATCGGGGGAATAATACGCAATGAGACACAAAAATCGAAATACGTACATACTGATGTTCTTTTCGTTTGATTTTTTTGCCTTTTTCTTTTCTGTTTGTGAAAGCTCTCTTCTGGATGGTAAAAGAAAAACCGTTTGGTGGGATCGAAGGGGTCCAGGACTTGTTTTTCTCGTTGTTCGGTGTTTTTTCTTTCTTTTATTATTATTATTATTATTTTTCACGTAGGATTCTCGAATTTCGGAACGGTCGTGAAGGTTTTGGATCTGGGCAATGGTAACTTGGGAATGCCGCATCTAAGTTTACTGCACTCTTCGCTGTGCTTTGCTAACACGTGTGAAGTTCAGCGCAAAGCCATTAGAAAAATATTCTTCAAGAGATCAAATTCGTGGATCGATAAAAATTTCGTCGTACTCTTTGCATGATTTTTGGAACATTTTATAAATAAAATTACGTCACGTATAATAAAACTGTGAACTTTAAATAATAAATAATTAACACGATATGAATTACTAAAAAATGTATAAATTTAAATATATTATAATACTTTGTATAAATTTTTTTTTTTATCTTGTTTCTCTTTTAAAGATTGTCTAAATAATATAAAAAGAAATCCTCTTACTATGATTAATTATAATTAAAAAGTTCCAAAAATTTGTACGACTTTCTTTTCATTTATCGATTAATTATTATCAAGCATTAATTTCACGCTGAAACTCATAATTAAAATAATTATTCGAAATCATTAGACTAATTTCAGCATATGCATAAATATTGGTATATCTTTATAGAAGATCTCGTATTTATGTTTGAAATATTTAAAAAAAGATGTGGAATTCCTTAAAAGTTGGGTTAAAAAATAGGTAAAAATAAAAAAGTTTTTTTTTATTTTATAAAAAAGTGTTTCAACGTGAAAAAAGATCTCGTTTGCAGCGTAAATTTCGAAGCGGATTAAAATTTGTCGACAAATAGATAAGATTGGAACAATTCTTAATTGAAGTGAGACAAAATTTAAGGAAAGAAACAAAAAAAAAAAATAAAATAACAAAGAAACAATAAAAAATGGATGTGGACTTACCGGTTGAATCGAAGTCACCCTCGAGTGGCCTCAACGGCCTCGTTATACTTTTTCGTTTCGATGGGGAATGTTTCAGTGCTGTAACACAAAACACAACATTTGCTGTAATTTCAGGTACAGAGTTGATTCATTACTATTGATTCTGTTAGAATTTAAATAGATATCCATATGATAATAATAATAATCATAATAATATCTTGTAGAGAAATTATATATAAAATGATTAATAATAAAATTTAATGTTAAAGGGGTGCCCGTTTAAATAAATAAAGAAAATACCATTGATATTATACGCTACTGAAGCTTAGTCAGTACTGTAGCAAGTTCCTATTTTATTTTTTACAAAATATTATTTTTTTTTATCCTCGCTACAGCACTGATCACTAATTATAATTCTAACATACAATATGTTTACATATAAGTATAATCATAATCCTGTTTGATGTTTATTCTTCTTCTTCGTTCTACAATTTAACATAAATAATGTTTTTTCTCATTTTTTTTTCTTCTATAACAATTAAAAAATAATGAGAACCAAACTACGTATCCAAGCTGACAACATTCAAAGAAAAAAGCAATTCTTTCTTTCTAAAAAAAAAAAGAAATATGCTTTTCTCATAATAATAAATCGTTCTAATTAATTCTATAACGATTATAAAATATATTTTATATTAAAAGTTTGTCAATGATTTTGTAGTTAAATTCTCTACGTGTAACTCGCTACATGCCTTGTGTATTTATGTGTATTATTTTTATGTTTAATCATCAGCGATAAAAATAATAATATATATACATATATGTATATTGGTATAATTAACGCAAATATAATTTGTATATATATATCATGACTTCTCAATGCAACATTGACAACCCCATATGTCATCGCAAAAATTTAAAGAAATCTAAAAATTTTGGCAACATTACATGTATAGTATGTTTGTGAGTTTATGATAATAAAAAATAATTTATATCCCAGAATTGTGAAAATAATATTGTTCATATTCGCAAAGTAAAAAAGTATAAGAAGCCTTGATTATACAAACATATACTCATATACATATATGTGTGTGTATATATACGTACGTACGTGATCGTGAACGTCCGTTAAAAAAATTTCCTAAAAAAGTAGCGAATCGTACACATCTGCTATTATTATTATTATTAATATTAAAATTAATAATAATTTGTTTTTTTTTTATAACAATCTTCGTTGATGTTTTTCAAGAGGAGGGTTATGTCTAGGCTAAACTAATTGCTGCACGAAATAAAAAAGAATATCTGCTCGTGGACATGTGGCTGGAATTAAGATCAAAAAAATTAAACAAAAAGAAATAATAATAATAATAATAATAATAAAAAAGTGTTGATACGCGCGAAGTTGATTGGTCACTGGTCCGTACTATTTAAATTTTCTTTTCTCTCTCTCTGTTTCAGGATAACGGGAATAATCCTATGGATCTATTTTTTATTTTCTTTTTCTTATCTCGAATAAAACGCGACCACATTTCGAGAACTCTCTTGATGAATGTGTTTAAATAGTTGGAAAAACAAAAAATAAGAAGAAAAAATAAGAAAAAAAATGAAAAAAGGAAAATAAAAAGTATAGATAAATAGAAGATAGAGAGATTGAAAAAGATAAAGATAGATGTAAAAAAAAGTGATAAGAAAAAGGATGGTAAAAAAGGTTGAAGTACAGGGTGGGTTAAAAGTTCCCACGTATAATTAATTAAGAATCAATTCGACAACATTTTTTTCTCGTAATACTAATTTAATATATTTATTTCCAATTTGCTATTTAAATGTAAAATAAAAAGTTTAAGAACTTTTATTCCATCCTGTACATAAAATATCATCAAGTACACGATTATTGGATGTAATAACACACAGAAAGCTACAAAGATAACAAATGGATCATCAACGAGAGGATATACGGAGACTAAAAAACATGCCACTGAAAAATCAATCATTTTTTGATCATATCTCATCATGTGAGAAACTCTAATACATAAACACACAAATATACCACACGTAAGATTTTTTTTAGCGAGTTTAAACATTTTTCATGGGAATGTAGAAAATCTTCTAACAAGATTGATAAGAAGATATTACAATATATTTTTAGAATCAATGTTATCTACTCTAACGACAGATTGATTAATTAATTAATTAATTGATTGATTAATTAATTAATCGATTAGATACATAAGCGATACTTACACTAACACGAAGGATAGAATATAGAAAATACATTAGAATAAATGCACAAGATAATTTTTAATTATCATATACTCAAAGCATTCATTAATTATATAAAAATAATAAAAAAAAAAAGATGCAAAAATATATTTACGTATATACACGCACGCACACGCTCATATACACGATAAGAAACGAGCTAATATTTTAAGACGCGAAAGATGCTAATAGAAGCGATTAGCAAGGACAAAATTAAAGGAATATAGGAAGCTCAATAAAAATTAATTAAATATAACGAGTTACAAATAAATGAGAAATAATATGCAAATAGATAATAACAAAGAGAAAAAAAAAGATTTTGAGAAGCAATTTTGATGCGCGTGAGCGTGGGTGCCGAACAAGAATAAATTACAAAATAGTACAAATATTGTTTTGTAATGAATATTACCTTGTAAAAAAGAAGGAAAAAAAAACAAAAAAAAAAATAAAACAAATACAAATACGAATGTGTACAAGCGTAAGTAAGTGGTTAGAACAAAGGAACAAACTTTTTACGGACGACCATACAAAGTGAGAAAAAATAAAGTAAGGGAAACGAAAAGGAAATTAAAAGAAAAACAAGGGGAAAAAAATATACAGAGAAAGGAAAAAGCGAAGAAAGAAGAGAGGAAAAAAAAAAGTAAAAACTCAATTTGAAAACAAAACCAAAAAACAAAAGGAAAATAAATAAATAAATAAATAAATAAAAAAATGTAGAACAGACAGAGACGGACCAACAGAGACAGACAGAGTTACCTATGTAGCTGGTGACGAGGTTACGGAATTTGCGATGGTTCCCCTTAATCTCAGGCAGGTCCACTTTTCGTATTCGAGTTTTCGAGTATCGATTGGTAGCAGATCAGGTCAGATCAGATCAGGTTCGTTTGGGGTTGACACGGAAAGTAATGCACGGGACACAGAAATATCAACATTTAGCTGATTCCGTTATATTCAATTATTTACGTCAACATCATTTCTAACAACATACCGGTTGCTCTCATTATTCTAATTTATATTTTTCTAACTAAATTTATTTTATTTATTTTATTTTTCTTCGTATTATTTCTTTAAGTGATACAAAATTTCCGTCTTATGAAATTATAAAAAAAAATGAGTGACACCACAAATATAGGATTTTTAGAGAGTATTTAGGCTCATCAAATATATTTAAAGAAAAGAATAAGAATTAAAAATAAAATAAAATATGAATATATATATATGTACGAATTAATTAATAGAGACAAAAATAAAATTAAAGAATTTGTCGGACAAATTCCGTAATTCAATTTAAATATGCAGAGACACATTCACACGCTGTTTAATTTTATCACGATCTCGCGTGTAAGTGTAAGTATTAGTAATTTTTCTTTATCCTTGGGTTATTTCGCTTATTTCTTTTTTATTCTTTATTTTTTTAAATTTTTATACGTCCCACGTTGCTTCTTTACTCGAAAACCTAATTACTTTTTTCTTTTTTTAACGGTAATGTACATTTCCTTTGAAATATGACACAACACAATTTTTATATTTATAATATAAATATAAATAGAGAGATAGATAAATAGATATAGATAAATATATACAAGATGAGCCAAAAGTTTTCTAGATTGACCAGACAATTTTTGAAAAAATCAATTATTTTTTTCCCGCAATAATTTTACAAAGAAAAAATTAAATAAGAATATATAACTGATACCAGAAATCAAACAGAAGATTTTGGCCTATTTCAGAAAATATTGATCCACCCTGTATATATTTACGTTAACAAGTGAAGAAAAAATCCTCAAAATGTGTTGTACGAGAAAAACACAAACAACGAACACATCGCATGGAAAACACAATAATTATCGAAGACAGTATGCAAGGTGTATAAAATGATGACAATGATGATTATGATTATGATATTAAAAATGTGAATTTTAAATAAAAATATTAAAAGATTAAAAAAAAAAATTTTAAAAACAAAAAAGAAAAGAATGAATTAAATAAAAATCTGGACAAATCAAAGATTAAATATATGGGAGTGCAGAACATGATTTAAAATTATAATAACACACAAAATAATTGATTAATTAATTAATATGACACAACACACACAGACGAATTTAGTTCATTTTCTTCCCCCTTTTACTTTTGTTAACCTTTTGAATTCGAAACGTTTGGAAAAATCGTTCGATATGAGCAAACATTTTTTGGGCGTCTATAAGCGCCGTTAGCACCAAAAGAGCGACATTGTTCATAATCAAAAGTTTAATAATTATATTTTGTATTTAAAAAAAAAAAAGATAAAATAACAACGAAGAAAACGATAAAAGTATAAAGAAATAAATCGAGTGTGAGACAGTAGTAGTGCGGGTAGGCTCTTTAAATGAAATGAAATTGTCAATCGTGAAAATGTTTATTGGCAAAAAATATATATGTATATATATAAATATGTATATATGTATATATATACGTATATAAATGTTGTACATTGGTGTCCACAGTGTGAGAGTTTATAGCTGAATATTTTTGTTTCTATTTACTTTCCTGTTCTACTTTCTAATATTTGCTTTCTATAATTCTTGTTTTTTTTTGGTTTTGTAATTTTTGTTTAACATTTAAAAAGATATTTCTATCTCTAATTTTCATACCTCATTTTCTCACTCACTCATTTTATCTCTCTCTCTCTCTCTCATTCCTTCTCTTTCCAAAATCCGAAAAAAATCAATTATTGTATATAAATCTTAAGTAAGTTTTGACAATTTGTTCGTTACGAGGAACTCTCGATCAGTAGAAAATGATAAAAAGCACGAAAATAAGTCATTATTTGAAATAGATCCTAACGATCGATCACAGATCATTTTAATAATCAATTACAATTGCATACGAATATATGAATCGGTGATTATGAAAGTGGACTAATTTTTAATCATTTCAGATCATTTAAAATACATATTTTTTGTTACGTTCTATTTTTGAAAAAAAAAAAAAAAAAAAAAAAAAAAAAAAAAAAAAAATGTTTCAAATCGGATAAAAAAGAAGACAAAATTGTAGAAATAATTTTCAATTTGAAATTAAATTGTACAAGAGAATAAATGTACAAAAAATATATATTATTTATATCAGAACTTCTCAACGCAACCCTGACGAATCACCAATAATATAGAGTAGCAAATATTTGAACAAAAATAAAAAATTACTTGACGCTGAACGAACCAAAAATTCATTCAAAACAATACACGAATAGTATATTTGCGAGTTTATGATAGTAGAAGAGAAAATAGTGTAGAACTTATAGATTTACGAGAATATTAATTTAGGTAAGGGGGGTCGCCAAGTGGAAAAGTTTGAGGAGTCCTGATTTATATAATAATCATAATCACTGACTTATATATTATACTAATACGTATCGTGCATTCTGTTATATCCTTTTCGGTAACAAGCTTTAATCAGATTGAGCACCCGAATGAATAATAAAATAGAAAGCTCTCTGTGTGTAAATAGAATTAGCATTAGAAGAGGCAACTCATGTGCACTCTACCAATTATTATTATTATTTAAATAATATACAATGTGTGTGTGTGTATGTATATATATATATAAATGTATAAACAAGTCTTACAAAACTTTGGCACACAGGTAAGTACTTGCTTATCGAGGAACTGTTTGTTTTTTTCTTTATTATATATAAATATTTAATTGCAATACGCAATCAAGTCAACACACGCATAGGAAGTATACAGTTGAGGTCAAATTTTTTTATTATTATTATTATATAATTTCATTTGTATATGCTAATTAACGAATAAAATATAATTCATTTCTACTTATATCCGACAATGTTCAAATACTCAGCTATGTTTTGTGGACACCAGTGAACAGAGACTATCGATTAAATTAATTTTACAAATTAGCCGAATAAAATACTGCTCGTTTAAATGTAATTTTTTTTTCTTTAAATTAATTAATTAATTAATTGTATTTAAATACTGTCTTCGGACGAGAATGTTAAAATGATGAACGAACATGAGATTAACTTTTTTTTTTTTATATATAAACCGAGATAAAATAAATTAAAACAAATTAAATGTATAAAAATGAGAAGAAAAAAATAAAACGAATGAGATAAAATAAAAAATGAAAATATAAATGTGCGTATACATTGTGTTAGCAATTAGTTACACCAAAACAAAACCCAATAAGTGATTATACAATTACTGGTTAATGTTTCTTTTTTCTTTTCTCCGGATAGTTTTGTTATACATCTATATACACTACTCTGATTGATTTATATTTTTTTATATGAATTATCTCCGAAGGTATCCGAAAATATCTTAATAAATTTAAAACAATGATTAATCCTACATTAAACAACTACAAATTTGTGCTATCGATATGGCGTATTACTTATTCAAATATCACGTTTTAATTGTTCGTGAATTTGTTCGATAATATTAATCTACACGTTTGGCAGCTCGAATTTCATTTATACACATATATAATATATAATGTTATTATTATAGTTTATTATTTTATATTAGTTGGACAAAAGAAAGTTTGTGCAGTTTTTCGGTTTTTTTTGTATCATTTGTTTCTATTGGATTTAAACGGCACGAACTTTTTTGTCCATAAAATATGCATATATTTATTACTATAAAAGCGAATGATTTAATAGAAATTTTCAGATACCAGCGAGATCCGTGCAATTATTTTTATCGTTATCTTTGAAAAAGAAAAACACTTTCCTACAATTTCTTAGAATATTATTCTGGACGGCTATGATATATCTGTTTTTATCTTTTGCATGAGAAAAAGGAAGATAGTTTGTAAAATATAAAATATATAAATATCTATATATAATATATGTTCTTTTTTTTACGCGAAATTGCTTACTTTTGTTTTTTTTTTACTTTTTCATTTTTCCTTTCTTTTCTTGCGAGTAGTTTAATCGTTTATGATAAATGCATGATTTAAACAAAATGAGATACAATCGACTTGTACGATAATAATAATAATAATAAAAATAATAATAATCCTAAAAATAATAATAATAAGAATAATAATAATAGTCGATAATAATAATCCTAAAAATAATAATAATAATATTAATAATAATAATAATAATAATAATAATAATAATATGATTAATAGTCTCACATATTGGACATTGTTTGAAATGAACATTTAAAAACGAGAACTTGTTACTCTTTGGAAAAGGACATAGTTAATTATGCTAATATCGAATAAGTACGTGTTATTAATTAAGATATTATCTGTCTCTCTGTTTTTTTTATGTTTTTCGTATGTTTTTTCTTCTTTTTTTTTTTTTTTTTTTTTTTTTTTTTTTTTTTTTTTTTTTTTTTTTTTTCAATGAGATTACAATGAGAATACTGGAGATAAACAAAATACAGCTTTCCTAGCTTACGGCTTACTGCACTATTTATATATTTTAATTTGCGTTGTGTTTGTGTTTATGAATGTACGTATACGTATTACTTTCTTCCAACCTTAAGTACCGACAAATATTAATTGCTATTAATATTATATAAATGTAAGTGTGTGTGTGTTTGGGAAAAGCCATATGCTAAATAACGGTAGCTATGCCATTTGTCTTTTTTTTCTTTTTCTTTTGTTTATATTCTAATCAAATATCCTAATTTTTCCTATAAAATCTTTTTCTCTCCAATTCTTGTATTTTTATATTTGTAATAATTTTGTAAAGTACATTTCCAATACGCGATTATCGAATTAAAAAAAAAGAAAAATTAAAAATAAAAGAATAAACATAAAGAAAAATACATCATCGAATAGCATTGCATATGGTTGAACCACAGTATATGTGTGATACATACATATATATACAGTATTCAGACAGACAAGGATATATAATCACAGTCAATAGTTTTAAAAAACAAAACATTTTTATAGTTATCTTTACGTTCGTATTTGTAATGACAACTTCGAAAAATGTTAAAGCGTTATATCATTGTTGAATGACAAAGATAATTAGCTACGTTTCAACGTTTTTAAAAATATTATTATATGTGTGTATATATATATATATATATATATATATATATAAAATAGAGAAAAAAAAAATAAAGAGTATCAAAAAATTAATCATAATCGAGATAAATCACATCAACCAGAAAGCAATGGCCATCGCGATAATAATCAATTCATCTTAATTAAACTTACAACTTAAGAATGAGCCTTGTTTAATGTTAACATTGACGTCAAGTTTGCTAGTAAAGGCTGATTAGGATGGTACTTACGTGAAGGTATCTTCTTGAATACTGTCTTGGCCATAAAGTCTTGAAAACGCTGAGCATAAAATCCTGGTCGATGTACTGATACTGTATCCTAAAGAGAAGAAATAACAAAAAATATTGTTTCAATCTATTCATTTTAATTGGTGTATTTATAGATTTATAGTTGTCGAATTAAAATCAAATTGTTAAATGGTATAGAAAATACAATGATAAATAAATTGATGACTAGAAAAATTTGTTTATATTGTACATGTTAATTTGTAATATAATATAAACAAATTGTTAAACTTACACCATCGTGTATCATCGATTTCCACGTATGCTCGAGCTTCTTCTTAAGCCTGTAGCTCTGCAAAATGTCAATGATACCAAGAAATAGCAATAGCCGTTCACCACGAGCATTTCTTGCAGGTATACCGCCAGGACTGCTAGGAAGAAAATAATAATTTATATTTAACATTTAGATACTTAACTCTCTTGATATTTATACATTCAACAAATCAATTTCCATAAGATGGAATCACAAATTTCTAGGTAGGTCAACAAAATTCATAGATGATTTCTACAAATAAATTTGAACAAAATCTTTAAGCTCGCTATTGTAGATGTAGTAGTATTGTATTGACCCGTTTTCATAAGTGGAAAGTTAATTGATGAAGTTAAACAAAAAAAAAAAACTTTCACTTCTATATATTTGGTCAGCATTTAAAATAGGAACAAGATGATGCCAGGATACGGAATACATACTAATTTTTTATTTGTTCTTACACAATGGATAATAAAATATTACTACATAAACACATACCCAAAAATTTAGGAAAAAAAAGATTAGCTAATTTTGAAGAAAATTGCTCATTAACTTTTGATGGCCTATTAAAGAATTTTTGACCAACCTTTTATATATTGTAATAAAAATAATGAATGAAAAGAAAAATGTACGTGTAAAAGAAAACTCACGGAACATCATCCTCTTCGTCAATTGGTTCGCTTTCAGCTTGAATACTTTCCATAGCTGTACTATGTGCGACCAATCTTTGCCTGTTTATGCTTCTCGATCGATTCAATGCCGTAGCACCTATTCTATCTTCCCTGTCACGTTCCCTTTCCGCTTGATTAAAAGCTCCACCCTCGCCAGTCATCTCGCCAACTTCGTCGTCCGCACTGGCCGATATTCTTTGTTCCTGCTAATTAAATGAATCAACGAAACGTTTTTGAAATATTTTTACTTCATTTTTACTTGGAATTATTTTATTTATTGCGACAACTATTTCTGTTGAGTCAGGGGTAGTTAACTAAACATTGACGTGTTAAGCATGCGATGGATGCATACAAATTTTCTTGATACACATTAACTGATAAATGGATAGCCAAGCTTTGGATTCAGGGCTGAACTTTTAGGAACCCTAGCAGAACAGTTTTACAGTATTTGATAGTTGTGAATACGCTCCTGTACTGATCACGTTTCAATCACGTGCATTTATTTACTTCTGACTCGATTCAATGAACGGAGATTGTGTTAAATATATTTGTTAATCTTTTATTTACTATGTGTCATTATAATGGAAGAACTTATACTTAAATAAAAAATATTAAACAATCCTCGAAGTGTAGTATCATCTTTTTTAAGAATCATTACTCTGATTATTGATTATTAATGATTTTTACAGGATTGTGAATTAATTGTTTTTGTTATTTTTTGTATTAACACAACTATGATTGAATGCATAGTGGGCAGTGATTTCTAAAGTGGATTCCACGACACTTTAGGGTTTGAATAAAAAAATTCAGCTGTTCTACGTGACAGTTTACCGGCCAAATTTTTTATTATTCATGTTATAACGGTGTTGATTGATGATTCCGCAAAAAAGAAAGTTTAATGCAATATTAAATTTGTTTCACATTTCATTTACGGAAATTGGTGTAAGGGTAAGCAAAGTAGTTTAAAAAATCTACAGTTAAATAAATTTGAAAAACAAATACATAAATAAATTTTCTTACTTACAGTTTTTTCTCTTGCAGCCTGATCCAGATTATGTATTCCAACAAGAAGCGAATAATCCATAATCTTGAAGCTTTCCAATACCCGGCAATCTCGTTGAATTGTTTTAACTAGAGCATTGTACGTGTCAGCTTCCAGAAAAATTCCTTCTGGATGATGCTCCATAAAATCTAAGTCCTTATACGTCGGAGACGACTTTGATCTTTCTGACTTTGATGCCTAGAAAATAATAAATAGATATATGAAGAGTATATAAGATAAGAAAAATCAAATTTAGAATAAATAAAATCATACGTCATACTTTTCTTTTATACGTGGATCCTTTGAGATCGTATTTTTGATGCAATTTTACTGCTGAAGGAAGGAGATTATTCATAGCTACTAATCGAACATTTTTACTGTTACACCGATAACAATACAAGCCAAAAAATTTAGGTAACAATGTTCTTGGATTCTGATTCAAATTCTGAAAACGAAAGAACACATTGATTATTAGTCAATTTGATTCACTGGCCCAATGAACAAATCATATTGTTGCGGATATATATATATATATGAAACAATTTGATATATAACAAAATTAACGTCACAACGAAATTGTAGAGAGCGTGTTAAAAGTTCCAAGTGGTGAAACTAGAAATAAATGACTCTTTTTGTTTGTTAATTTATATTTTTATTTTGTGTGATTTATTGTATTTGATTTTTAACAATTACCTAGGATTGTTAAAAACTTTCTGTTGTCATGGGTCAATCTGTGTATCTGATTATTCTTACCATGTAATATCCTGGTAGAAGAGTTTGCAAGAACTCTCCCTCTTTATGTTGTACAGTCTTAATAATAAATTCATCATCCTCCGTTAAATAGAATATACTTCCGCTGGCACCCGGATTGGATAACTCGCGCAAAGGGGCGCTACACATTGACATCTAAAAAATAACAAATAAAATAAATAGGAAAATATTAAATATAAAAATATATGTGACTTCTAATTCTATAAAGAAATACGCGAATTATCACATTATAATTATTATTTCGCTAAATAGTATTACCAAAAAGTCATCCGGTTGAATACCAAAGAGATCCCTAAAATATCGAAATGCAATTGGGGCGTAATTTTTAAATTTAAATTCGGAAAAGTGATGTGCAGGAGTGTGATTCGATCCCTCGCTTGGAAAATTCGTTGTCTCGACGGTCATGAAGTCTTGCATGAGCAAATCTCGTTCTGGCTTACTTGCCAGACCACCGACCGCATGTTGTATACCAAGTTGTATAGATCCCATAATCTGTGTCGTTTGTATCTATTTGTTTTGTACAAGAAAACATATTTATTAATATAATTACAATAAGTTTACCTACAAAATACTACCATATATATAATAATAATTAATAAATATATATATTTTTTGGATTGACCAATAAGTAATATTAAAATTGCCAATATAAAAAAATAAAAATATATGTGCCTTTTATATTTAAATATAAATTCTTTATTTATTTCAACGTAACATATTATAAATTTTAATTAAGAAATATTGTAATGTTGTTTTTATTTGGATATAGAATAACAAACAAGTTTTGAAATAAAGAAATATTCTAAATTATTTATTGACTAATCAAATATAATATTTTCTTAATTTATATACCGATTTAATATTTTTTTTGCACGATTGTATTACCTTTTTGTACGTAATTTCACCTCCCACTCCAACTCGACGATGTCCAATTTTCCTTTCCCTTTCCGATTTATTTCTCGACACCCCCGCAGGGGTTTTGAGCCCCGCCGTTCCATGCTGTGTTATTGAATTCTGCAAAATAAACTACCCGTCTACTATCTCCTGCGTCATGATATAAAAAAAAAAAAAAATTAGGTAAATATCATTAACCAATTTATTTATTTAAATTTAAAAATTATCCTCTAGGAGAGACATTCATTATATGAAATATAACAAAGAAAATATTGTAATAGAAAAATTATTCTTTAGAAATATTTCTAAAAAAAAAAAAAGAAAGAAAGAAAGTAAAGAAATGAAGAAGAAAAGTAGAAATGCAGTTGATCAAGAAGTCGATGACGAATCGATTAACGTATTTAAAGACCGGAAATAGAGCTGATTTCACCCGAGGAAATTAAAAGGAAGTCCAACTATGTATTAAGTCACATATATATCTGTATACACATATGTACACTTTGAATTACATTCTTTTATCGATCGTCATTGCAATAAACAAATAAATATAAATAGAATGAAAGTAATCAAAAATAATAGTGATTCCAATTCTAGTTAACAATTATTGAAGGATAATTCATAAAATATTATTAGCGTTAAAAATAAAAGGAATGTGAAAGTATTCAGAAAAAAAAACATTTGATTAGAAAATTCCAACCGATTAATTTGTTGTTATTTATAATTAATAAAATGTCGTTAGCGTGACTTTTATTATATTTTTGCGAAAATACAAAAATTAAATATGATAGAAACTGAGAATTATAAATTTAATCGAAAAATGATTGTACGATAATCGATAAGATTTTCATTTTTGTTTTATATTTGCTAACGATTATTACATCGTGCAGATATGTGTTGTAAACTCTAGATGTAAATTAGAAAGAAAAAATGCGAACATGATGACTAGGACTATGATTACGAGGTCGGTATTACACGAAGCGATTAACGAAGCGACGTTAGTTTTCTTCTCCCTCCAATTCTCCTCCCTCGAACCGTCCCACCTCTTCGTCTACGGTAGCTATGAGAGTTATGCAAGGAGAGTCTCGTTTTTTATTACATGTTAACATTCTACGAAGTATTGAAATATTATCTCTTTCAATATTTTAATTAGCAAAAATATCTGCTCTCGAATATATAGAAAATAGAAAATAAAAAACATAAACAACGTAACGAATTTTGAGATATTTCTATCTCGATTTTTTAATTTTTAATTCTATTCTATTTATATAAATTTAAATAAACTGTTATTTAGAGATTTTTATTTCAATATTAAAAAAAACAATAACAAATAAAAATCTATATTCTACTTCAATATTTTTTTCTTCCTTTCCTCTCTCTCTCTCTCGAATGTATATTATTTGCAATTTTTTACAAACTACGACGAGATAATCTTTTCATCGTCTATATCTTTTTTCTGTATGTGTGTGTATATTTTTTACAAATTTACAAAAAAAAAAAATGTGGACAAATTTTGTCGAATTTCGATTATTTCCCTTACGTTTTATTTCTAACAATAATTCCAACTCTTTATTCCGTACTTATTCGTAGAAATATTTTCCTTTTTGTCACTGTTTGTAATGTACGTCGTCGGACGATAAAAACTTGAATGCGATAGGAGCCACACGTTATCTTCTGACGTACAAACGAATAAGTACATACGTATTTCTCGAGCGTCAAGAAAGCATAGTATTGTAAACGAACTAATTGCGTCAATAACAACCTTTTTTTCTTCTTTATTTCTTTATTCTTGAAAACTCAAAAGGGACAGATCGAAAAATTTCAAACAATAATGTGTATTATAAGTATTGATTAGATAATGATACTTACATCGAGTGCAGTTACTTTTTCTCCCGTGGATTTATCTGTAAAAACAACACATGCAAATATTTAATATCACAATATATTTTTCACATTTATTAAATTATTTTTCTTGAAAATATTAAAACAATAAACGGAACAAGTAATAAAAGAGAATTACACATTAAACATTTTTATATATAATTTTATATTACAAATAAATATTATTAAGATCATTCGAATAATTCATATATTTATTAGTTTAATTTAAAATATTTGGAGGCAAAGAATTAAAAATTAAACATTTTATTTTTATATATATTACAAGTAAAGACAATATCTTAAAAATCAATAAAATTTGTACATTTATATATAATCATTTGTTCAAAAGTATATATAACAAAAAAAAATTTAAATAACACACACATTCGATTTAAATCCAAATATTTTATATGATATTTACGAAGTGAAATCTATTGTTAGAAAAATGATCTCATCAGATTTCAATTTGTGGGATGAAACGTATTCGCCATTTTTAAAAGGAACCGATTATTTCTCATCTCGTTTCTCTCTTACTCACTTCATCATACTAGGATCGATATTAAGCGTCAGTCAAATCGAGGACTAGGACCAGAATACCACATCTCGTGTTAATCAAATTCTGTTTAATGTAATCGATAATCAATGTACTATATATGGTCTAATTAGAAGCCTTTGATTTATAGGTAGCACTTTCGGTAACGTTGGGTTTAATTCATAGAATGCTGGTAGTGGTGTGGGCGGTAATGGTGGGAGTAGTGAAGGCTTTGATCAAAAGATCAAAGGCCGGTTGGTTGTTCAACAAAAAAAAGAAAAATATAAAAATAGAAAAGAAGAAAAAATTGATATAAGCTTTAACCGTGCTATGACTTTTCCAATAAAATATATGTATATACATGCTGAATATACAAAACGGAGTCATTTCAATGGAAACGACAGATAAAAGGAACAGGTTATTCGAAATTTAACGGTGACAAAAATTGTCGAGTTTTTGTAAGATGAAAAGAACGTAAAATGGAATACCATTTTAAACCAAGAATCTTTTCAACTACAATGTATGCGCCGACTACACCAGGTGGGGCATTTAAATTGGAACGCGTAAATATTTTTTTGATTATTATTGGTATTATGGAAAACAATTTTAGGACAAAATTACGTCGTTTTAATTGGATGCATGTGGTGGTGATGGTGGTATGAAATTTTTTAAATCAGTTAATTGATGCAAGGTACGTAATAATTATCGAAAAATATCAATTAAAAAGAAGACTCATCAAAATTGACTCAATAATAATGGTAAATATTTTATTGTTATTCTGTATAAAAAAAAAAAATAAACTATAAATCTATTTGTATCAAAAGATATAATTTAAAGAGATATTATAATGTTAATATATCAAAGAAATCAAGATGTGCACTTAATACAAATTTAGTAAACAGTAGTGAAATAAAATATTGAACTGCATCAATTAATGACTTTTTTCCATTAAATCATAAATAACTGAGATGTTTTGATCAAACTGTCCAACCTAAATACACATATACACACGCATACATAGAAGAAAATATATTAAAAGGTATTCTCATTAAACTGAACTACCTGTATATACAACACATCATACACGTGCAATGCACGATAGAATGATCAAAGCTTTTGACACACACACACACACATACATTAATCCACACATGTAAACATATTTGTAGGATATAACAGAGAGTGAACTTTGCAGGATGAAAAAAGAGAAAGAAAAAAAAGGGGAAAAATCAACAAAGTTACTGGGCATGGTATAATCGAAGGGTTAACAATGTTCACTGTGACATTTGAGATACACACACACATACAAAATCTATGTAGTGTGTGCGTCAGAGAGATTACGAGAATAACTTTGTTGAGCCTAACGGTGCGAGTATGTTTTAAGAGTTAATCGTCTTGACCGACGCACAAGTAACATTTCTATCTCTTTATTTTTGTATCTGTTTCTCTCTTTCTTTCAAAGTTTTATACTTGGTTACAAAACACGCAACTTGCATCGTGCAGCACGCGATACACAGTTGCTCTCACAGTGGTTTCAAATTCCCAAAACGTGGCCAATACTCGAAAACAAGTTTTTTATTTGGTACTTTTAATCCTTAAAATATGTTCAGTGAATAACGTATTGATTGTTTCAATTGTTTACAATAAATAAATGTTTATGCATACGTGCAAAATTTTTTAATTTAAACGTGAGCGTTGAGAACAACATCCGTATTTCTGACTCGCTGTTCTCCGAGAATAACGGTTATTTTAAACGCGTATAATAAAGTTAATATCTGACCGATTTCAAAGTATGGATATGAAATTTTCGACTAACAATTATGTTTTTCAATATTTATACAAGTAATAAATGTATAATTGCTAATGATAAATATATTGTTATATGTGATGCACGGTATTAGAAATATCTATTAATAAGAGCTTTAATTGTAAATAAAAATTCTTGCGAAATTCTGCGTTCTAATTGGTTTCAAATTGTTTATCGAAAGTTTACCTAATAAATATTATAAAATTATTTGCTACTAGTTCCTACATTAGCTTGTACCTATGATGATTTTTTACGATAATGCACAAACGTATTTCTAAAAACGTTACACTTTATCTATTACTTTATTTAATTAAAAATAAATTGAATACACAATATATATATAAGCTAATAAATAAATAATTTTTTCTTTTAAATATTTCTTTATTGTTATTTTACCTATCACAATACCTATTATTAAACACACAATATTACTTTCAGTGATAATGCATTCTAAATTATTCTCGATTTTGTCTTTAATATTCTATTTATCAAAAGGATAATATCAGATTTGTAATCAGCGACCTTAAAACCACACCAAATACTAATTTTCAACAAAATTAAACTACATTTTCATATTTTGGCCACGTTTTGAAGACTTCGGATCAGTGTGTGTAAGTTCGATAAACGGTACAATGCCCCTTCTTCCTACTTTCACGCGTGCCAAAAGTAAAAAAGAAAGAAACAAAGATAAAGAAAGAAAAAGAAAGACTGCAGCCAGTGAAAAATTATTTTCAACAAAAAAAATCCGTTTAACAGATACAATTGAAAAAAATATTATTTACAAAATTATCAATTAAATTAGGGATTAAAAAATTCGATATTATCTCGAATGAAATATAAAAAATAAAACCACACACGTTTTTCAATATCATTTATAAGTAATTACTGCAAAAAATTGAAAAAGAAATCTATTGTTAATTCGATTCATACTCAATAATAATATACAAATTAATTTGAAACACATTTTAATATCGATCAAATAATTGCTAAAACGATAAATACAAAATTTGATAACACACAACCAATTGTTTATAAAAATTAATATATTAAAAATAATTATCTCAAAATCAATTGTGTGAAAACACCGCCGAAATAATTACTCCACATAATTAATACAAAAAAGATGTAGAACAACAAATCTGACAATCGATAAAACAAATACGTCAATAATTAATTATCTCAAATTTGGTGTTTAAAAGAAAAATTCATAAACAATTATTAAAAAAAAAAGTTAAAACAGAGAAAGAGATAGAACAAACGTAAAAGAAAAATATAACAAAAATAAAAAATATTTATTTATCAAAATTGAGTATCAATAACCGGCGCACCGGAGCAGATATATTCGTGTGATCGAATAATGGACACAATCGATGGAGAAAAATAGATAGAAAGGTTCGAGGGGTAGTTGAGAGGGTGGTTTTAGAAGGGGTTGAGTAGAAGGGATAAAGGGGGGGAAGTAAAAGAGGCATCGATTTCGTTCGGGAAGAGAAGACGCGCGTGGCGCACGATGGACGATGGATTGTGGGAGGAAAGGGGACAGGGGAAAATGGTGGAGAGGAGAGTGGGAAGGGGGGGGTAGACACGGGTGACACCCATCAGCTGTCAAATCGTGCTCGAGCGAGCCGGATTACGAGACGCTTCGGAGCTTCCCCGAGGGAACCCACGGCTTCTTTATTGTCTTATTTCTTTTTAGTCTTTAGTACTTTAGTCTTCGGCATGGTCTAATGTAAGAATAATCGACCGAAGTATAACATAGCAAAGGAAAATTTGAGAAATTGAAAGAGGATATCGAATTGTCGAACGCATTCGTCCTTCCTTTTTCGGAGAATTGTAATAATAGTAGGTAGTAGTAGTAAGAGTAAAGTAACAGTGTAGTAGAGTGTAGTAGTAGTAGTAGTAGTAGTAGTGTAGTAATAGTAGTAGTAGTAGTAGTATATATCTCTCTTATTTATTTAACTAATCGTAAATATCCATCTTTCTATTTCTTTCTTTCATTCCGTGTCTCGTTATAGGTTATGTCGACAATACGAGAACGGAAAAAAATAAAAAGATAGAAATAGAAAGAAATAGACATATAAAGGAAAAACTAATAAAACAGATATAGAGAGAGAGAAAAAAAGAGATTAACAATGAGTATAAAAAGGAAGGACGCAAAATATATATATATTAAAAAAGCAAATAAAAAGAAAAAGAAAAGGAAATATGAAAGACAGAAATACTTACTGTCGTCTTCGGCTGACTGATCGGCCCTCGTGGAATCCTCGGAAGTAGCAGCAGCAGGTTGGGCCGGTCCGGTGAAGCTCGTCTCGACCACCTCGATCGCGTCCACATTGTCGCCCGAAGCCATCTTGTACGTGGTGGCCGCCCGTTACGATCCACGACGGGACGACTGACTCACGCTAAATTCAACACCAAGACGATTTCGCGATGGCGCCTCCTCTCTTTCCTCGTCGTCCTCCGCGTTACTAATACGCGCGAACGCATCTTCCTCGACGCGTGATCGAAAGAAACTTCTCTTTCTTTCTTTCTTTCTCTCTCACTCCCTGTCTGTCTGACTTAAAATCCTTCTGTCTTTGTCTCTCTCACAGCGGTGGCTCCAGAGTGCACGTATTGCTACCAACGTGTATCCTTGTCTCAATGCACATTCTCTATCTCTTTCTTTTATATGTACACGTCACCTTTCCTCCTTCTTTTCTATCACTCTCTCTCTCTCTCTCTCTCTCTCTCTCTCTCTCTCTCTCTCTCTCTCTCTCTCTCTCTTCTTTTCCTTCTTTTTTACTACCACACTAAAAACTCTCTCGATTTATTTTTTTTCACACGTAAAGGATGTCAATGACAAACATCTCTTATTCGACACAACGTGTATAACTCTATTTTTACTGATTACGATATATACTCCCGTTTCTCTTTTAATAATTAAATTATATCTTTCATTTTTCGTCGTTTTTTTTCTTCTCTTCTTTCGTTCTCTCTAACCCAAGAACAGACACGAACGAGAAGAGACAGTCGTCGTCTCTCGTCTACTCCAAGCCGCGCCACGCCGACTTCTATCGACCGGACATCTTGTCGACGCTACTTCCACGCTGCCATGCAGTTTAATTCCGCACTAACGTATCGACCGTATCTAATTGATAGACGACTAGGCGCCATGTTGGATTTCTTTAATGTGGACAATTAACTCTCTTCCTTATCGATCGCTGAAATTAATAATTATCATTTAATTTTGTTTTTTTTTTTATTTCACCGTAGGAAAATGAAAAAATAAAAATATTTACCTATTGTTTATACATTATATGAACGATTAACTTATTTCTTTTCACTACCTTATAGGTTTTTACTTTGGAAATCAACTTTAAATATATCCCCTGCAGGTATACCAACTTTATTTTCATTTTTTTCCAAATGTGCTTGCGCTTTGAATTTGTAGTTGCGCATGTGTATAACATATCTCCCACTCATGACTTCACCATTTCATAATTATTCAAAGTGTAATAATTATTTTCAACTAATTAACGATAAATAAAACATATTTGATAAAATAATGTTGAGCAAATAGTGAGCAAATAGTGAGCACTTATTCATTTTTGTTTGTTGTTGCAAACTTCGTTGCTTTGTTTGGAAATAGGAAAAAAAATTTTTGTATTTTTAATTATTAATAACTAATTAAATAATTATGTAATAAAGTGAGCAATTAAGGATTGTGATTGAGTAAATAGTGTGCAATAAAGAATACTTATTCATTTTTTCTGCTGTCAAGGTTCCTTGCTAGCGTTCCTACGGTTTTTATTTCAATTGCAAGATTTTTTAATTTTGCTTTTCTTTAATTTAAATATTGATTCTCGATTTATGTTTTGATGTAATATTTGTTTTTGGGAAACTTTTCTATCTTTGAAAATAAATAAAACTTTTCGATGAATCATTTAATTTTCTTACGAAATATGAATCATTGGATTGATTAGTTCATCGTAACTGTTAGTAATAACTATATCGAAAAATCTATTTAAATTTTTAAAGATATACATGTTAGAGAATAAAATAGAATAGAAACTTGTTTGCATTACCGACTCGTTTCTTACGAATTTTCATAGTTGACTCACGGAGGTCGATTCGATCAGTGTGCTTCATTCATTCGATTATCTTCGATATATATCGTATTATGACTTTTATATATTGTTTTAAATACGTCTCAATGCCAAAAAAAAAATTTTTCGTCGTAGTAAAACATTGATTAATTATTTTCTTATATTTATTATACTAAGTTTCATGATTAACGATTGAATCATCGAAGTGGATATTTTGGAGAAAACTAATTGTAACATGTGTAAGTAATTAAATGTTTGTTAATGATAGACATTAGTTGAAAATAAAACAAAATTAGTAAAGTATATTCAATTAATAGATATTATTTTGTAAATAGTTTCAAATTTGGTGAACAAAGTCATCGGGACGATGCGAAAAAGAATGAAAATCAAATGGGATTCGATTTGGTTTCAAAGAAGCGTTATTTTGGGGGTAGCTTTTGTAATAGCTTCAGGAATTTTCAGTGGTTACATTGATTACCAAAATCAAGTAAGTCCATGAAAATTAAAATATAAATTTTAAATTTCTATAAAAAAGGATATGTTTAGGACTTTTGAATTTTGATAACATTGAACTTTATAATAAATTGCATTTCCATTTTAAAAATTTAGTAACTTTTAATTGAAACTTTTGATTATAAAATCAATAGGATCATAAATATTTGATGATATTCTTCAAAATGAAACACTGGGTATGTAACAGACGATTTAGAAATTTAGTTTTAAGATAAGAATTTGTGTGTGTGTGTGTGTACCGCAATCTGTACGAGTCAAATCAACTAGCACGAAATGATTTACATTGGCATACAATCGACGCAATTCGCTATGTCTGTCTATCTCTCTCTCTTTCTCTCTCTCTCTCTCTCTCTCTCTCTGTCTTTCTGACTATATATGCTTCGTTACGATTCCCGTTATGATCAAGGCTTGATTATAAGCGAAGCATGCACTGCAAATATTTAACGTTGCTACCGAAGTATAAATAAGATCGGCGGCGTACGATAACGCGGAGAAACAAAATGCCATTCAACTTATCAATTGCTGTCACATTTTAACCACCCAATTACATCATCAACATTTTCCCTTCAATAAATCATATCTAATATTATCTAAACGTGTGATTAAGGAAAATGAGGAAAGGAATGTTTTAAAGATTACGTATTTATATTTTTCTTTTTCGATCTGCAGTGATTAGAAACAGATTGGTTACGTAATTTGCATTAATTTATACTCCTAATTAATTGGATATCATAATTAGCTACAATATATAAACAATTTTTTGTAGGTAAATTTAACTCAGGCACGTTTGTACAGATTTATTTTCAACAATCTGATCACTTGTTTAATAATACTAATAATGTTTGATTATTCTTTTTATCAAATTCTCTTTCTTTCTTTCTTTCTTTCTTTTTTTATTTTTCTTGATCTTTAATGTACGATTTAAAAAGCAGGCCATTTGCCACGCAACGGCGAATCCACATTTGAAAAGCAGGAAACTTTAATTACTCCGGTGAAACGAACCTCTTTTTCTTATTCTTTTTCGAACGTTCTGTCTTGCGATAGTTCGACCTTGTAATCTTTTCCATTTCTTCTTTAACACGAAGGTAAACGAGTACATGAAGTCCAATCACAATGAGATCGAAAGAATGAAAGAAGATTATCGAAGGAAACTTGCCAAATCAAATCATTTTTTATTTGCCAAGGACAATCCATCGGATATTAACCAGGATCGATAAATTTTTTGCTTATATCCTAGCAATAATAATAATAATTATTATTATTATTATGTTTTGTAAGTAGGATCGAAAAACACAGATATATTTTGCTTAATTTGAATTAACTAACAGATATATGAGCGTTCACGTGTTAATGTTTCTAATGAAATTGTTCGTTGATGATTAATGTCATGGAAAATAATTATCATCAGATGTTAATTGTCTGCTATCATGTGTATTTAATAAAACAAATATGGGAATTGTAAACAACAGTAATAATAAAAAATGAAGTCTCTCACTTGAAAGTTATGCAGTTAAATAATCAAGATTTTTTAATTCTATGAGATTAAAAAGCGGAACTATTAATTTTTATAATGATGGTTTAATTGTATAATTAAATATATAAAAAAATCGTAAGGAATAAAATATTTTAAATAATTTACAAATATAAATTGAAAATATTTAAATATTTAAATATATAAATAATTAATATTTAAAACTACAAATAAGAAATATAAACGAATAAAATATTTTTCTATTATTTAATACTAAATATAATAAAAATCAATTGGTGGTTTTGTAATCATAAGATAAAAAAGTAAAAATATGAAGAATTAAGCTACGAAATACAAACAGACGAATTATAAATGTTCATTAAATTTATGTTAAAATCGTGATCTTGTATTAATTAAATATATACTTTCTTGATAAAACGACGTTGTTCAGAAAATTTTTGCGAATGCAGATATCGTTAAGGTCAGGATAAACACGATATTTCCTGCACCGAACACGCTTGTTTCAATAAAGAAAGAAATAACGACGACTTTTGAAGATGCAAACCGCGTGAAGCGTGACAAGCTCGTTGAAATCAAATGATACGACAAGGTCGTCTTTTTCAGACGAAAAAAAAAACAAAAAAAAAGATTAGAAGGAATTACAAGAGAGTGAAAGAGAGAGAGAGAGAGAGAGAGAATTATTGACGATGAAAAACTTTCAACTAATAAATTAAATTTTATTCATGACACAACTACGCGGGTGGTCTTTTCAAAATTGACGTGAAAATTGATTTACAATAAAATACGTTGGAAATTCCCACGCTCCTATTTCTATTTAGTAGAATAGGATTTTCAAAAGAATTTATCTGGATTCACGCGATCTTTATCGTTTTATGACCGACTGAAATGATTTATGAAAAATGTATATGAAAATAAAACTGTCGTTCATGGTTACGATCAAAGTGTTAACAAATTTTATTGGATTTGCCAATTATAATTTATGATGGATTATTTAATAGAAAATATCTACAGTGTTATCTATTTGGATAGGAATATATAAATATATAAATATATTACAATATAAATAATTAATATATTATTAGAGCCAATCCCCAGTAATTTTTTTAATTACAAATAAATATAATTAGTGATCTATGAGGATAATACATATAATTAATGTCTCTATTGTATCGATCAATATTTAAAATTACTTTTGATAAATATTTTAATAATAAATATTGATATAAAATAAACATTAGCGTAAAAAATTAATGGTATATATTAACTGGATATATTTCTTTTTATCCTAATGCAAAAATACATTGGCGTGAAAAAGAAAAGTAATATAAATAAAATACTTGACGTTTATATAAAACGTGTGTTTGTTTTTAATAAATAACATTCCTGGACCATTGGTATCAGAGATTTTTCTGACTGTGCTGAAAATTATTCTTTTAGTTTGCATAAGTGATAATAGTGTTTATCTATTATTAACGATCAGGTGGTATCATCTGTAAACAAATTTACTGAGGAAGAGAGAAAGAGAAAGAGCTTAAAGGTTCTCTATAACACTCCTATTCGTCGTTCATTCCACAGTTAGTTTCTGGATGACTATTTTGTTTCCGCATTTGAACCACAACATCGCGATTCGATACTTGTACACATACTCTTGTCACATCTTTTGAATATGCCACCTAACAGTACGGTCAGTGCCATTGACATGAATAAAAAGAAAAGTATCAGTGATCGTAATAATTCGTGTAAGTTTATTCGCAATTATTGTGATCTCTTTTGTTTTTTATTTTTAAATATATTTCGTGCTAGATAATTTGTTAATATCTTAATTAATTAATTAATTTTTTTATGGAGTTAGATTGATTTCTAAGTAATGTCGAAATTGTTAATATAAAATATTTGAAAGTCAACAGTCTAGCGACGTTAAATTACTAGTTCTCGTCAGATCATTAAAATCAAGCAACGTGAACACGGTTAATAACATGGATAGGTGACTTGTTCGGAAAAAAACAAAAACCGTGTACTGTTGACTCCAGAAATTCGAACCCCCACGAAAAGGGAGAGTTAAAAGACACATATAATATAAAACATTTTAAAATAGATGCTCTCCGGTATTTTAATGATCAAATTATTTTATATAGCTTGTTATTTTATTAGATATAAAATATTAATTTTCTTTATTGAAATAGAAAATACTTAAAAACATTTTGATTTACAATTGATATGTAGTGGATTTTTAGTTAGATACGAAATATTCATAATTTAGAATACACAATATTAGTTTCATTTATTTAAATATAAAATTCTAAAGAATATTTTGTCTTCACCTAATTGATATATCAAATTAATTTAATTTATGTATATAATATTGTAATTAAAGATGTACAAGATACAAAGTTGCCACCAGCTGATTTCGAAAGCGCTGTGAATGCGACCGGATATGGAAAATTTCATGTTCTATTATACTTAGCAATAATACCAGTTTCTTGGGCATCCAGTTTTGATACTGGTAACATATCTGTCATTCTTCCTGTAGCAGAATGCGATTTGCAATTAAGTCTTATTCACAAGGGAATATTAAACGCTGTCGTTTATATCGGTGAGAGAAAATTATTTTACGTAAAATTCAATATTTTTTAAGAAGAATTATTTGTAGAAAATTGTCAGAAAAATATTCTAAAAAAAAAAGTACAAATCAATTATCTCAAATATATATCCAATTCTTCGAAATTCATTCGCAAAATTCATAATGAAAATTTTATATTTATTTAGGTATGGTATCGAGTGGATTAATATGGGGATACTTAGCAGATGTAAAAGGTAGAAAATCAATTCTAGTTTATGGATTCATGGCAGACGGAATCTGCAACGTATTATCAGGATTCTCACAAAATTTTGAAACGCTCTTATTTTTTAAATTCCTCAGCGGATTTATGTAAGTTTTAACCATAACTCCAATTTTTCGAATCCAAGTCTGATAGAAATTTTATTTCTTTGTTATGAATTTCAGAATCAGTGGACCATATGCTGGAACAATGACTTATTATGCCGAATTTTTTGGTGCCAAAGCTAGATCGAGAGTTACACTTATTGTTGGTTTCACTGTTACTGCTGGAACTCTTATGACTTCGGGTAAATTTAATATCAAGAATTGTATTTTATTATAATATAAAACGATACACTTTTAATTATTTAATTGATTGAGGTTATTTTTTGTTTTAAGCTTTGGCTTGGTTGGTAATACCACAAACTTGGTCAATCGTTCTTTGGGACGGTTATTTTGTTTACAATTCGTGGAGAATATTTTTGTCCCTTTGCGGAGTGCCTACTTTGATCGGTGTCTTTCTAATTTCATTATTCCCGGAAAGTCCTAAATTTCTGATGAGTCAAGGACGCAAGGAAGAAGCTTTGAAAGTTTTTCGACAAATTTATAGGATTAACACTGGCAAACCAAAAGAAACATATCCGGTAAATTATTATTTTATTCTTTTCACTACTAAAATTATAATAATTCAGTGTTTTAGGATTTTATAACATTTTATTTTAAATATTTAAAAGTATTTATTTATATATATATATTTTAATATTATCAATTATAATTTATAATTTTATTTGAACGATATATATGAGACATTAAATTATTAATTAGATAACCGAATTAGCTGACGATTTCGAAGCAAACAATCCAACTGATTCAACAACAATGGATCCATCTAAAAAATCATTTAAAAGTGGTCTACTTCAAATGAAACCGATCTTTTTCAGACCACATGTATTCAGATTAATTTTAATTTTGACTCTTCAATTTTGCAGCATGCTCTCGTAAGTTGTTTAAAGAAATTTTTCAGAATATTTAAGATTGTTAATTCCTTAAAAAATATGACTTAACGTTGTTATACAAAAAAGTGAAAGAAAGAACACATTGATATGAATTTAACTAACACATAGAAATTTACGATTTTATTGTATTATATATCTTGTTAAGGAATGAATATTTCCAAGTTATTAACTATATCTTGGATCATTGAAAATTTGTCTCTAACATAATTCATTTTTATCTGAACATATTGCTTATCACTTTTTCTGATAACATTATTGCTATTTTTGTAGTCTCAACACAATTCGATTATGGCAACCACAACTCTTCTCTATATTGAATGACTTCAAACCGATTGATTACAATATTACCGATCACGAACCAGCATTTTGTGAAATTTTAGACACCGTCACTTATTCAAGGAATACAAATGTAACCAGCGATTTGATCGAAGTAATCGATTGTTCAAACGTAAGTTCAAATTAAAAAGATAAAGTAATCACAATAAATGTTACACCGATGTTTTGAAAGTTTCATTTATTTTGTTGGATATATTTTGGTGTATTTCATTCAGAAATAAGTTTTATCATATCAGCTCGGAATTTATTTAGATATAACATTTATATCGGGTGCTCAAACATTACAATTGAAACCGCACATTTTTTTATTATGAATTTAAAAAAAAAAAAAACAGAAATGTAATATTCAGAATATCTTTACAATATATCTAAAATGTAATATTTTTTATTGAATGATAAAATTTAAAAAGAAGAACTTAAATTTTTATTGACGACTTGTTGGATTAGCATAACAAAAATTTACAACATAATTCTAAAACAACAGCTGATATTGTAGAATACAACTTACAGTTCGTTATCCTAAGTTCTTCTTCAAATATTCTTAAAAATTACATTTACTATTTTAGGTACGAAAATGTCTGTTAATAAATATAATTAATTCTTTTTTTCATCTTTTTTATCATATAGATCGTAATATCTGAAAAGATGTATACAGACTCAACGATAGTATCGTTGTCTACAATATGTTTACTTTTTATTGCCACCTTGTTTGTGAATTTACTGGGCCACAAAAATCTTTTATGTGAGTAACCAATAAAAAAAATGCATTTGTGTGGAGTAAAAAAAAAGGAAAAACAAAATAATAACAGTGAATATTATTCCTCGTATGCAGATATTTGTTACACGGTGTGTGTCTCATCATTGATATCCATGATTTGGTCTACTACTTTCACGTTGACATTAATATTAACATGTCTATTCGTTGGTATAATGATGGTATCATTGAACATCATAGTTGGTGCCACTGTACTTTTATTTCCAACTACTTTGAGGTATCATTTTTATTATCAATTAAAAATATAAATTAAATTATAGGTTCCGCGGGGAAAGATTAGTGTGTCGATTAATATTTTTAATACTTAAACGATTAGTTTGATCAGAAAATTTTTATTAATTTTAAGACAAATTGTTTGACCGAAAAAACAATTATTTATGTTAGGCTCAAAACTTTTCAATCCACTCATGGATATTTATTAATTTTCATGAATTTTAGATGAGTAACCTTATAATAAATAAAAATACAATAAATATTTTATACATACACACTTACACACATACATAAACACGCACACATACACACGCGCCTATATGCATATACATTTATTATCAAATATAAATAACATAGAACATTTATTGCAGAGATAAATGTAATTAGGTCGTTTATTTTATTTAAAATTTTGGTATTTTTCATTTTTAATAGAACCATGGCAGTGAGTTTGGTAATGTTAATAGGAAGATCTGGATCTCTGATCGGCAATGTCGTGTTTCCGGTGTTGCTTGAGTACGGATGCATAACTCCGATCATGACGATAGCTTGCTTTCCCCTTCGTAAGAATAAATCTTCATTAAAGTCTTAATATTTTTTACAAATCTCAAACTAATACCTTCCTAATTTATTATCTTTGTCTCTCTCTCTAATTTCAGTTGGCATCGTATTAGCATATTTCATACCGAGCAGGAAGATTAGGGAAAACAAAAATGTCGAGTCTGGATAATAAATTTCCTGAACCAATCACCATAAAACAAAAAGAAAAAAAGGAACATTTAAAAAAGCTACAATAAAAAGAAAAAGATGTCATCAAGAAGTTCATTTAATCGAAATGATTGGAATGAGAGATCGAAAGGATTTATCGTAGTACAATTTAAAAAAAAACAAAAAACAAGAAACAAAAATATGAAACAAAATCATTAATAATTCTGACAAAAATGATGGAAAACAAAAATACGGAACCACGTGGATTATGAAGATCGTGTTGGAATTGATAATTTTGATTGTTTACTCTGGTCCTGCAAAAAAAGGATTTTAATTTTTTTATTAGAGAATTGAGAAAATGTGGGAGAACTTAGGATCAAAAAAATAGGATGGACACAATGAGGAGGATTGAGAGTAGAGAGTGCAACACGTACGAACGGAGGCCTTGGGTTTCACTTTCGACACATCCTGGAGAGCCCTCCAGCCTTCACCCACATGCTCGCTCTCCTCTATCCTTTTTCTACACCTTCTTCTTATTCTTCTTATTCGTCGTCCAATCTCTTATTCGGAATCTCCATTGAAATCTTTCTAATTCCAATTGGAACGCCGATACACGGCGTATTAATGTTCACAAAATTCAGCTCCCCAAAAGTTTCACGATACATATTTTAAGTTAAGAATTTGAAAATTTTATTACTTTTTTTTTTTGGTTTTTTTTTCTTTTTAATTGTTTCGTTCGAGATTCCGAATCTACACGAGCTTAGAAAATTTTTGATTCAATATTGTACAAAATATTTGTGTATATAAATGAATTATATTTATAGGAGTTAGATTTTTAAGTTTAGGTATATGTATTAGATTATGTTTAGGATTGAGTCGAGAATAGTTTTAAAGGGGAACTCTGATACTCGCGATTATGTTTCTATATGCACGGGGCGTATCAAAAGTTTGTAGGGAATATTTAAAATGTGATTATATTTTTTGTTTTTTTTTTTGTTTTTTTTCGAAATTTTTCTTCTTTAAAAAATTTTGCAAGCCTACAAATTTGATGCCAACTTTCACCTTGTAAAAACTGATGTATTATATCGTATTAATTATTAGCTAAATTATATGTATTAATTATTGTCTAATCCGAACACAAACACATACATACAAACAATATTTGTGTACGTGTTTATTTATTTAAAAATATCAAATATGAAAATAAATTTTTAATACAAAATGTAAATATATTATTTATATAAATAAATATTATCCAAAAAATATGTAATATATACATATATATAATAATTATTAACAAATTCCAGTATACTCGTAACAATAAACGCATAAACAAGAGATACATAAAATATTATATATGTATATAATGTAAATATTATTTATATATAAATAAATATTATGCGAAAAATTATTTAATATAATAATTACATATTGTGACAAATTCCAATATACGCGTAATAATAGAACCATACACAGGTTACATAAACACATCTGTAAAATATCCAGTTAAGCGTGTATAATAAACGAGTTTCTAATTCGATCTTGTGGTGTAGAATAACTTGGGGTCCCCTATTATAAACGCATCGAAAGGCGCAAAATCGTTAGATAAACGAGTGATCGTAGAGAAGGCAACGAACCGATTGAAAGGAACGGAAGTGGCAGATGCTTGCTGCTGTTCCTTGCGCGCTGAGAAAGCTTTTCATAGAATAGAAGGAGTAACACAGATAACAGTAGCGTCTCGATAAAGATACTTACCTTATTCTATCTTTATCTTTATCTTTATCTTTATTTTTATTTCTCTTGATCTTTTTTTTTTTTTCATACCGCAGGACTTACCCACGCGTATTTTGTCTCTTTTATTCGGTATACAATTAACTATTGTAGATGGAAAAAAAAGGATCGAGTGAAGAAGAATGATTGGACAGAAAAGCATATCTGTGAAATCGCGATATGATGACTACTGACTTCCACCCGTATTGAATCGTTAGAATTATTAGATCGTTAGAGGAAGAGAGGAAATGTCTTTCTCTCTCACGAGATTCGATCTCTTCTTCCATATTGTCTTATTTTATTCTCTTCACCCTTCTTTTTCTCTTTTACATATTATTTCTCATTATTATCTGTATTTTAATAAGTTACGTTTGTTTAATACGGGAGAATTTTTGTTTTTTAATTTATTCGGATTCTAATCCGATCGATGTCGGTATTGTTTTTTTGATCTAACATAGAAACAAAGTTTTGGAATTGTTGATAATATTTGAATTTTTGTGAATTCGTCGATTTACAAAAGTCATCGATAAAAATATAAACGATTTTATACGAAAATAATTAATAAATAAATTACTTTTCTTTTTCTTTTCCAATTTATTTGAATATTTAATAATAAAAAAAAGTACTTTCTCGTATCGGTGGAATTGATATGCGTGGGAAAATAAGATCACGGTAGTCCCGAGTTATTCCATGAACTTAATTAACAAAAAGTCAGTTGATAGTCGGTAAAGGAAGAATCGAGAACTGAGGTGGATTCGAATCATCGAACACCATTACCATAATAATCAATAGGAACGACATTGTTTTATTCTCTCTTTTATTTTTTTCTTTCTTTTTTTCCCCCTTTCTCCCAATTCGATTGGAAAAAAAAATGAAAAAAATTCGCACAGTAGTCTGAAAATTAATTAAACTTTGACCGGATCCATTTTTTGACTTCGCTTTTTTTCTTTTTTCTTACAGTCAGTTTTTTTCTTTTCTTTTTCTTAATCATCGAGAAATAGAACCGGCAGCTCGTCACGGAGGATCGATTCGTTGAAACTCGAAAACAATCGATTTTTTTCTTCCTTCTTATTCTCATTTGTCGTTAATGAGTCGAGGAAAGGTTCGAGGTCAGTGACAAAAGTCGTTGCGGTTGCAGTTCTTCTGTAATCTTGGAGGCTGTTTCTTCAGTGTCGGTGGATGACCGTTCCTCCTCCTCATCCTCCTCCTCCTCCACCACCTCTTCCTTCTTCATCACCACCTCCACCTTCACCCCAACCTCCACCACTATCTTGTCCTCTTCCTCTTCCTCCCTTTTTACTCCTCCCCATGAACGAATGAGTCACTTTCAACGTGCTTCATCGTTCCCTTCGGATACGTCCAACTATTAAACCGGACGGTATGCTTTGACGTAAACAGCTATAATTATCGAAAGTAACGAACTGTCTCTTTCTTTGGATTTATTTTTTTATTTTCTTTTATTTTCCTTTCTTCGTTATATATTAAGATTTCTTTCAACACCAGGATACACCATCTTCGTTCTCTTTCTTCTTTCTAAATTTGTTATCGTAGAATGTAAAAATGATAAATCCGTTTGTTTCTTGTTTGATTTTAAGGGTGTATTTTAATACGTTTGATTAAAAAAAAAACATTTGATTTTTCGGTCTCGATAGTTTCATAGTGAAATTCGTTCAAATAATCGAGATACGAAGGTTTACCTCACATTGAAATTATGATCTAATTCTTTGATTTCTTTAGAGATTAATTTTGAAAAACAAGAGATCATAAATTTATTCATTTCTCCGTTGAAATTATATTTACACGTAAATGATCAAAATTATATTAAAATCGTAAATGAAATTAATTAACGTAATCATTGATTCTTTACCATCTATTCTTTCATATCAAAATTTTTCGTATCCAACGGATTCCAATATTATCAATAAGACGATAAATTTATTAACTTCTATGTTAAAACAAATTTTAAACAAATATTTACCATGTATATCCCAATTTCGAAATGATCGTAATTAATACGACTTAATTAATTCAAGGTCGATATTACGTAAAATAAATTTCCTTTTGAAATATGAAACGAAGAATAAAAGATCCAAAAGAGAAGATCAGAAAGAGAATAAAAAACCCCCACCACCCTCAAAAGAAAAAAACAAAAATAAAGAAACATAAAGTGTGTCCTTGCATTCATTCGAAGACGTCACGCTCGAGAGAATACGTGTTCTATACGAGTTAGTCGAATAATTTTTAATAAAAATAAATAAAGAACATAATAAAAAAGAATATGATATTGAAATGAGTTGGTGTGGAAAGATTTATGTGTTGTTATAAAAAATTCGTTGAATTAATCTTCAATAGAAAAAAAAAACAAGAAAAGAAGAAGGGGAACAACAATAAGAAGAATAATATGAATAAGAAGAAGATGATCGAAATGTTTGGGTGGATTGTTTTAATGATAAACGCGGCGCAATCGGTTGCATGCAAAAAGTAACGGCATCCGATGAAATCACAGACCGTGACGTAAATTAATTCTTTCGTTCTTTCTTCTATTTTCTATCTTTTTCTCTCTTTCTCATTTTCTTTCTTTCTTTATCTTTTATGTTTAAAAGGAGATTGACTCTCTCACTTCCAAACTGTCTCACGGCCTCGATGATCCGTCGCTGTGTCTCTGAATTCAGTGAACCGACTAAAACACAATGGCCTAGACGTCAACGACATTTTATTTTCATCAACTAAATTTTAATATCATAAGTACACCCTACTCCTTTTGTATTTTTTTACAAATTATTGTAAATGAAACTTTATATGAATATAATATAATATGAACATTAATATAATTAACATACTTTTCGTAAACGCAAATATTTTGTTCGAATCATAAATGCAACAATTAGTTTTTTTTTTATATTAAAGCTTACGTGTAATTTCTACAAACATTTTTTTAAACATATTTTTATATTCTTTTTCTTTTTTTTTTTTACATGCCAAATATATTTTCATTAAAAAAAATGTTGGTTCTTATTTAAAAAGCAGCATGAACCTTGGAAATAGAATCTCTTGAATTATTTCATTAATTAAAATAAAATAAAAATGTGTGTCATAATACGTTTATATTGAAATCAAATTTATCTGAAGAAATATTTCTCAATAATTTGATATCCTACAATTTATGAATTACCGGTATATATTTATTATATTAAATATAATTTACAATAGATCTCAAAAAACACTTAATAACACTTCATAAATGTATATATGAATAACCAAATAATTATATGGTGATATGTAAAAAGCAATATTAAAAATCTATGTGTAAGTGTATTTTATTTTGAAAATTTTCAAAGTAATATGAAGGTTAACGTTTTAATTATCGTGATCCTGAATAACGTTCAACGCACGGTCTCTCCTTAAGCTTTCATACGAGTATACATATTTATGTATTATACTCTGGATGATCGTTATCGTTTCTGTCGAAAGCTAATTTGCCTTTTATTTTTTATTTTCTTTTGAACTTAGAATGTTGCGAAGTGATTTAGTAACTGAAACGAGCCGCAACACGTCGAACACGTGTTTCTTTTAACTATATTTATTTACTCACATGCGTACATACTTATAATGTAACACGACGATCAGATTATTATACTTTCCAGTTAATTGATTAATTACGTTTAATATTAATCTTCGTAGAGTTGATTCTTGTTGATTATATTATTTTTTTTCTTTTTCTTTTTTTTCATACATTGTTGAATTTATCAAAATGTCATGAAAAAGATTGTATCTAATAATTATAATTACTTAAACTAATTGTGCGGTTATTAGAAAAAGAATTTTGTTTTAAAAAGATAAAAAGAAAATGAAATTATATATGTCAAAACTTATTTTCGTT